TTCTTTGGTCTCTTTTTGAATGTAATGTAGTTTTCAATGTAGTAGTCTCTTCTTTTGCTAAATTGATTCTTAAGTATTTCATTTTTGGGGGATTCTACTTTGAGAGATGTGACTTTCCTAATATCTCTTTCAGTGAGTTTGCTATTTCTGCAGGGGAATGCTACTGATTTTTAAGTGTTGATTTCATATCCTGCTATACTACTGGGTTTAGTTATAAAATCTAAAGTTTTTTGGTGGAGTCTTTGTGGTCTTTCATGTATTCTCTTGATTACTTTTCTCCTGTTGCTAAGATGAAACACCTGACCCTCAAAATGAAGGAAGGAAAGGTTTATGTAGCTCACACTTCATGGAGATTTCAATTCATAATCTGCTGGCTGTAAGGCAGGGTGGCGTGATCCTAATTGCATGGATTTGTCTCTCTCTCTCTCTCTCTCTCTCTCTTTCTCTCTTTCTCTTTCTTTCTTTCTTTCTTGCTTCCTTCCTTTCTTTCTTTCTGTTAGGGTGGTTAAGGATTTCTCAATTTTATTTAATTTTTCAGAAAACTCATTTATTAATTCTTTGCAACTTTGTAGTCTCAATTGTATTCATTTTTGCTGTATTCTTTATAATTTACTCCCTTATATGTGCTTTGAGTTCAACTTATTTTTCTTTTTCAAGAAAGTTGAGGTTTAACAGGTTATTTGAGCTCATGTTTTTCTGATGTGAGAATTCAATGACATCAATTTCTCTTGTAGGACTGTTTTCATTTGTTCCATACATTCGAGTACATTGTTTGGCATTATCATTTAAATTTTTTTTTTTTTTTTTTGTCTTTTTCGTTTTTTACCGGTACCGGGGATCGAACTCACAACTGCCTGCTTGCAAGGCAGGTACTTATGCTGCTGAGCTAAATCCCCAGCCCCGGCATTATCATTTAATTGTAGAAACTATATAATTTCTTCTTTATCTGTGACACATTGGTTGTTGAGGAGAGAATTATTTAATTTCCATGTTTATGTAGTTTTTAGTTTGTTTTGTTTTTGAGACAGGGTCTCACTATGTGGTTTAGGCTGATTCTGTATGTGGTTTAGGCTCATTCTGTAACCCAGACTGGCCTCAAATTCATAGTGATTCTCCTTCCTCAGCTTCCCAGGTACTGAGATTATAGGCACGTGTGTTTATACAGTTTTTGTGGTTTCTTATTTCATTGCACTATGGTCTGGTAATATGCATGGGGTAATTTCAGTTGCTTTGTATTTACTTGAGCATGTTCTATGAGCTAGTATGCAGTCTATTTTGGAGAATGTCCCATGTACAACTGAGAATTGGTATTCTGCTGTTATGAAATTGAACACCCTGTAGATATCTGCTAAGTTCACTTGTTCATAGTTTGTTTCAGCTCTGATATTTCATTGCTGATTTGAGGTGGGGCTGGTTGATCTATTTGTGACAGTGGGGTATAATCCCAGCAAGAATGGTATCATTAAGAAATCAACCAATAAGAAATTCTTGTGAGGGTATAAAAATGAACAAATTCTCCACAGTTGATAGGAGGGTAAATTAGTGCAACCAATATGGATATCAATATGGAAATTCTTCAAAAAACTCAAACTAGAGGTTCCATTTGAATGAGTATTCTCTGTCTTGGTTTCTTCCCCCAAAAAGTTAAAAGCATCATATCACAGCAATGTATGCACATTTATGTTTATAGCAGCACAATTTGTAATAGCTAAATCTTGCAAATATGCCAGGTGTGGCGGCACAAGTTTATAATCCCAGCACGCTGGAGGCCAGTCATGAGCTTGAGGTCAGCTTGGGATAAAAAGTAAGTTCAAGGAGCCTGGGCTACACAGTAGGACCTTGCCTTAAAAAAACAAAAGAAAACAAAAATCTTTGTAACAGCTCAGATGCCCAACAACACACAAATTGATAAAGCAAATATGGAGGCCAGGGATTTGGCTCAGTGGCATAAGCACCTGCCTGGCAAGCATGAGGTTGCGAGTTCAATCTCCAGCACAAAAAAAAAAAAAAAAGAAGGAAAAGAAAGAAGAGAAGAAAATGTGGTACTTATATATAATGGGGTACTGCTCTGCCATAAAAGATAAATTGTAGATATTTTTAAGTAAATATCTTGAGACCATACTTTTAAGTAAAAAATAAATCAGACAAATATGTTTAAATATCACATTGTTTCTCTTGTGCAAGAAACTGAAAGCACAAAAAAGAACCAAAATGGATGGCAGATATTGGGAAGCAGAAAGAAAATGTTCAAATGGGAAGGGGAACAATGAGAGGTATGAAAAGAAGGGAAAGGAATGAAAAGAGACGAGAAGCAAAAAGTAGAAACAAAACTTTTCTTAAAAAGAGGAAGAAAGGCTGAAAAAATGGAAGGCGAATGGAGAGAAAAAGAAGGATCAAGATATATAACACTGATGTGCGTGGTGGCTCACACTTGTAGTCCTCGCATGCAGGTAGCTGAGGCAGGAGGACTGCTGGGAAGCTGATTCCAACATGGCTACCTAGTGAGTTTAAGGCTAGCCTGAACTGTATAGCAAGATCTTCTCTCAGAAAAACACAGAGCAAACCCTCCAAAAAAGATATATAATGTATAGGTTCAAATTTCCTATGATGAATGAAATCATTATGTATGCCAGAAGTTTACTAATAAAGTTAGTTTTAAATTTTTTTAATTAAAAATATAAAGTGTTCTGTTCAGGGAAATGAAAAGACAAGTCATATATACCCTGAGAAAATACAAATTGCAGAGATGATGAAGGATGTGAATCTACAACATACAAAGACCTCTCTAAAGTCAATAATCAGAAACAACCTGGGGAGGAAGCAGGTGCAAAGGTTGTAGCTCAGAGGTAGGGCAGGTGCTTAGCAGTTAAAATAGGAAAAAAAGTGGGGAGTGGACAAAGGATTTAATGAGATGCTCCACCAAAGAGGATATATTCACGCAAATAAACACAAAAAAGATGCTCCTTAAGGCATGTGCGTTAAAACCACAAGAAGACACCACAACACAGTGATGAAAACGTCTAAACTTAAAAGAAATTGGCAAGGATGTGTAGAAATACAATTCGCATACACTGCTGGTGGCAGTGTTAAGGGGCATCACTTTGGAAAACAGTTTGGCAGTTTCTCAAAATTAAGCATAGATTCCCCAGATGACTAGACTTCCACTTCTACATATTTATCCAGAAGGAATCAAGTATGTGTCTACATATGAATAGTTACAAATGTGCAGACCAGCTTTTGGGGGTAAATATTTATCTGCTTGATTTTTAATTTACAATTAAAAATGTGTATATTTATGATGTATACTATAATCTTTAGAGATATGTACACAGTGGAATGATTATTAACCACCAGCATCAGCACGTCCTCATATATTTCTCTGTGGTGATTAAACACAGCTGCAGTTATTTACTATCCACAAGAGATTACTTCCAGAAACTTTCCCACCCCAAGATACAAAGACCTGTGGATGGCAGGGTATGTATGAGACAAAATTGTCAATACCTACAGCCCGGACACTATTTTTATTTCATGTTTAAACATTTACAACATAGGATACTATTTTCCTTTATGTTTCAATGTTTTCTCATAAATGTGTACAGTCTTTTTAAAATCTTGGAAGTAAAATGTATACATGTTCACCTCATGGAACACTATGCAACTCCTAAAAAGAACATAGTAGGGCTGTATTATGCCTTGAAAAGAGAAGCCAGATTAAACGAAGGTAGAAAATACACATGCAATGTGATGGAAAAATATAGCAAATGCTTAAATTTTTAAAAATTACAATAAAAGACAGATTAATTCCTTTTCTTTCAAATATACTCATTCCATAGGTGCTTGCCATGTTCTGAAAGTTATAGAAGTCTTTTTCCTGTCTCTAATTGCAAAGCTGTCTACTTGTCCTGAGTGGGTTCAATATGTTTACCTTTCACAGTCATTTTGACTTTTGGAAGACAGTGAGTATTCGATTTAAGGTCTATGTATTTCTTACAAAGCGTTTTGGAATGATTAAACAACTGCACTTCCTCAGAGGCTGCATGCGCAACAAAATTTAGGATGCTTTTGGTTTTCTTTTTAAGAGAATTTTTTAAAAAACGATACAGAAGTTTAAAAAAAGACGATAGGAAATTAACAATGGTTATTATATTGCAGTTATCCTCAAAATAGTGGCACAGATTACCAGATATAGGCATGCAAAATTAATAAAACAGCATAAGCACTGTTCATGCAATGAATAGAATTAGTAGTACAATCATCTTTAACTATCTTGTGAATATCTATCTATCGATATATATATGTTTTTCTTTTTTTTTAAACTCCCTACTTTTCTCCTTTCCCTCATCCCAGTAGTTCTTTCCTTTTGCTCTTTGGAGACTAGCTTAGTCCCTCTTTGGTCCCAAATGACATAAAAGTGAGAACTCTGGCTTTAGATACGCTTCTCAGAAAGAGCCATGAAAACACAGTTAAGTCTTGCCAAAGAAGAGCCCGCAGTCCACTGCCTCCAGCACCGCAAGTTTGGACTCTGGGGAAACGAGGCTGTGAGGCCAGACCAAAACCTTAGGGGAACTATGCCTGCGTGTTGGCCTGCGGAGCCCTAGAGGATGGGAAAAGGTGAGCTGAACTACGCTCTGGCTCACTTTCCACTCGCGAACGCCCCGAGTCTAAGACACGTACAGGCGGGGCTGCAGCCGCCATTTTGCACGGGGGGCTGCGCAGCCTCTGGGCGCCGAGCCAGCGCGCCTGAGCTGTAGAGGACGTGGAAAGCTTGGCGGGGGCGAGCGCGCGCTACTAAGGGGAAGCAGGCATGCGCAAAGACGCCGCTGGCGGAGGGGTGGGGCCAGAGTACGAATGCGCTTGCTCAAAAGGAGCCCGCGAAGTCCCTGGAAGAGGCGGGGGGCGAGGTAAAAGGAGAAAAGTCCAAGAGCGCTTGCGCAGCAGAGTGACCCAGAGGGAGGGGGAGATGTGGAGCACGCGCGATGAGGTGAGACTTGGGAAGGTCTCGCGAGGTTTCAGGAGATTATATCTAGGCGCGAGAAGCCTTGGTCTTTTCCCAGCGTGAATCCGTTCTGTCTGTCTGTTCTTTGGAGCAGAGTTCATTCACTTCTGTCCGCGTTCTCTCTCACCTAAGTGCGTGCCACCACTCCATGGAAGATTCGATGGATATGGACATAAGCCCCCTGAGGCCCCAGAAATATCTTTTCGGTAAGTGTCTTGAGGAGAACGTTGGAGCGAGGTCGAACAGGGCCTGGTGGTTGGGGGGAGGGGGCGTCAATCCGACCGAGGCTTGGGCCGGGGGAGAAAGCTAAGTACCCTGGGCGAGGAGGGCGAAGCAGCCGGAGCTGTGGAGGCTGAGTGAACGGGAGGTAGGAGGCGAGGAGCGGTGGCCTGAACCCTGAGGCGTGAGCGATCCGAGGCCTAGGACCTGAGGTGAAAAAGCGGCTGGCCGAGTAGTCGCCTTTTTCTGTGGTAGGAGTTAGATGCCGGGGCATGAGGTTTGTTTTTATGTTATTAGGTTGTAGGGTTCTGGTGCAAGTTGATAATCTTCATTGCAGGGTCCCAGGTGGTCCGGCTAGTTTTGCGAGGTTGCTGTGGGGAAGAGAGAAAGGGAGCCTGACATTGTTCTCTAGACTTCGTTGTCCAGTACTTGGGGACAGAATTACTCTGTGAGTGCTTCGGCTAGTTTAGAGGGGAGGAGAGGCGCGGCTGGGCGTGAGGAGGCCGCTGCTACTGGGAGTACACAGTTTGGGGAGAGCCAAGTGTGGCCTCTATCCCGGGCTCGCTTCCTGGGTTCTGTGGCTTAGTTGAGAACTGTTGGATGGTTTTGCCAGGATTTTGAAGGTCTTTGTTTAGTACTTAAAATATCTATTAAGATATAGCTTATCTTCAGATTATTTTTTCAGTCTCACTTGTGTAGATTGAAACTGCTGTACATTGCAGATGACAATACTCATGAAGCGACTTAACAAACGTTGCACAAAGTTGAAAATTTGAAACAAAACTCTTGAGTCCTCCTGGTGCTGTACAAGTAAAAGTGAAGTTTTATAATTTGGGGGAAGGGAAGTGAAAACCACCTTGAGTGATGCATTGAGCACTGGGTTTAACGAGGAAAATGCTACCGGCTGAATTGAAGATCTGGAACTGTAAAGTTTAAAGAGCCTGGACTTTCAGGCAACTGTCTGTCTCCATTACTCTTCTACTTCACCCTCAAACTGCACTATGTTGATTCTTTGGCTTTCAGTCACAGTAATTTTTTTAAAGAGGAAAAAAAAAACAGAAAAGAACCCCAAAACAAAAGAGTTGCTCCTCTTGCCAGGAACAGGTGTGGAAAATTGATCAGACAGTATGAGCACTAAGTGTTCCTTTCCTGGAACTAATAAAATTAGTAGTACGATTATAATTTTCTTTGTGTGTTTTGTTTTCCCCCTTTTTCTTTTGTTCTTTACCCCATTCCAGTTCTTTCTCTTGGAGCAGTTTCTTTACTTTTTACAATACCTATTGTACTTTTTAAATCTTACTCTCAGTTTCTTACACTAAGGAGACAATATGGTGTTTACACATGTAAGTCTTTATTTATTTCACTTGCAGTATGGTCCCAAATTGCATCCATTTACATATAAAAGCCTTAAGTTTATCCTTCTTTATAGTTGAGGAGTACTCCATTGTATTAAAATACCACATCTTTTTTATCCATTCCTCAGTTGATGGCCATTTGGGTTGTTTTCCAAGATCTCAGCGTAGTAAATTCAATTGTGGAAGCCTCTTTGTATCATCTTGTTGATTAGGCATGCTGAGATTTGTTAATGAGCAAGTAGCCTTTTAGTACAGTATTTACGTAACAATAACTGTTAGATGCTTATTAAATGGAACCACTAACGTTAAATGATTCTGGTAATATTTAGAACAATTATTTTTCATTTGTGGAATGGGAGTAGATATTTGTACTCTACTTTGGATCCATTTTGGAGAGTTAAATATTTGTTAAAAATTTAAGAATTTTGTTAGTCTTTGTTTTTGGAAGCTCTTGGAAGTGTTGCCACTAAATCATTGAGCATGTTTGCATCTGTAGAATGGCAAGTTACCTGTCTCATTGTAGTTGACAGTGAAATAGTATGACAAGAAGGTGGAATGTATAAAGTTTTTTTTATCAGTGTTGTCCGGTGTATTCATGTTCAGAATCCAGAAAGATGATTCTGCATTGCTTCTAATGAAAATAGTTCACAAGGTAACCTCTACCTTTTTGTTTACTAACTCAAGGCTTGATTTCATTTTTCTATTTTTCAAAATAAATGACTTCTCAGTTTCCACTTTTTAGTTTTTATTCATATGGCTTAATATTTTTTGTTTCTTTGACTGCTTAAAAGTATTTTTTTGTTACTAGGTATTAATGTACCACATCTTTATCATAGAAGTTCCCTTTGTTGTTTACAGGACAGTTTAGCAGCTGGTGGGAAGGATGAAGTGCACATTGTTGAAGCAGAGGTTTATGAATGTCAAAGGCAGTCCAATTAAAGTAACAATGGCAACTTTGAAAATGCCTGTACAGCCAATGGTAAGTGTGTGTGAACTTTGGATTCTATGTGAGAGTTTAAATATTTTTAAAGATGGGTATCATTTAAGGTATCAGAGAAATTAAAAGAATATTCTATTTGCTTCCAGTAGTCACAGTTGCGTCGTGTGTCACTGTGGAGTTAAGTCGTCAACTTTTTGTTTTTTGATTCTTCTGTATTAGAGGGGTGAAAATAGGTTTTACTAGTTTGACTTGGTTATATGGGGTTTACCTGTGATACCTGTTGTATGTGTCCTTTATTTACAGTGCTTAATTAAAAATTTCTTTCAGGTTCCCCTTGGGAGCTTTGAAATTACACAACCTTTTGTATTAAGCTTGAGGTATAGTCCAGAGCTTGTGCATATTAGTGGACAGCACTTAGTGGGTATGTTATTTTTAATATGCTCTATTAATCTACTTTTTCTGTAATTGTTGTGTTCCAATTTGGACTTGAAAGGCATGCTAGATTTAGTATTGCTCTTTTTATGATAGGTTCAGTTGAGAATCTAGTATAGTAATTCCCTGACCTACAAATGAGTTCTATTCAGGAGAACTTTCCTAAGTCTGACAAAATCTGTCACTTTCGATACTAATACACATTGTAAAGCATAAGAAAGCCAAACATGTACAAAAATACTGTAAGTGAATTATTTTTATTTTTACAGTTACGTTTAAATGGTGGTACAGTACCAGTGTAACCACTGGCATGTAGGGAGTTGCATGGAGAGAACTGACAAGAGGTACTAACTGGAGGAGGCAGTGTAATGGGAGATAGTTGAGCTGTAGAATCATCAGCAATTGATGGAGGGTGTTGTAGTCAGGACTTAGAAGGAAAAAGTTGTGGGGTTTGGTTTTTTGGTATTAGATATCGAACTCATGACTACATGCTTGTAAGGCAGGCATCTATGCTGCTGAGCTAAATCCTCAGCATCCAAGGAAAAAGGACACATAGTTTATAGGGTTTATTGTAATAGTCACTGAAAGTCAAATGCAGAAGTGTAGGAGATCTGTCCACACACTAGAGACCCAAAGAAGGGGCCTTGATCCCATGGCATTATCTTGCGTGAGTCCATTTGAAGACCTAGAGCTCATGGCAACATCTTGTGCAAATCTGTATCAAGGAACTGCACTGGGAAGGCCCAAAGGTTAGTGGTAGAAGCCAGAAAGTCTGTGCCAGCAAGATAAAAGATCTACACTGAAGCCAAAAATGATGCTCATATTAAGAGCTCCCCTAAAGAGAACTGTTACCATCCTCAGTGACAGTGAGGACCCAAGCTCTTCTGATGATTACAGCCAGTTTCATATCAGGAAGCCAACATGGCAAGCTTCTCCAAGAGAATCAACGGTGTTCCACCATCTTCCCCTAGTGTCTTTTTATGCTGTTGTCAGTAATCCTCACACATCGCACAAAGTTTATTTTCATGGGATTCACTTGTTTGGTGTTAGTACATCAGTATCAAACTAGGACGCATTGGTCAAGTCCACTGATTTTGCAAAAACTTAGTTGAAAGGCTTAATGTTTTCCAGGCCTTGGCAGTGGCAAACTCTTTTGAGTTTTTACTTTGGATACTTACAAGAGGATCATACTGTTCTACTCTTTAGTTGACTGGTATATTTTGTGTATGATGGGAGTTCATTCATGTTGCAGAGGATAGCAGAATTTAAGGCTGAATACATTCCATTACATGTACTAAACATAATATTTTTATTTATTTATTTATTGTCTGTTTGAGACAGGGTCTCTCTATGCAGTTCAGGCTGGCCTTGAGCTCACTTTGTAGCCGATGCTGGTCTTTAACTCGGAATGATCCTCTCTTGCTTCAGCCTCCCAAGTACATATATTTTTCTTTGTCCATTCAACTTTTTGGACTGCTTTCAGTTGTCTTTTGTGAGCAATGTTGCAACAAATCTGTTATGTTCTTTTAGTTCTTTTGTCAATTCTCTGGAAATTTGGGAGGTTCTTAATATCTTTTCTTGTTTCATTTGCAGTAATGGTGATGTTTTTGATCATGATTGTGAGGAAATGGAAGAGAAAATTCCAGGGAGAAAAGTGAGTAAAATATCACAAGATTACCAAAAATAGCAGAAATGATGGAAATTTATTTATTTTTTTTTAGTGCTTTTCATTTGTTTTGTAGCTAATGAAAACTGGCTCTTACTGAGAGTTGGTTCTGAGTTACAGTTTTACTGAGAACTTTTAGTTTGAATTTTTTAAATTATGACTTGAAGAAACATTTGAACTGAGAATACCTCATATAATGGGGACACTGATAAGGCTGACTTCTAATTGCAGTCAATAAAAGATACTCCAGCCAAAAGGCACAAAAATCAAAAGTTAAGTGGTAACATATACATTAAAAATAGACTTGATTAAAATGGCCTAAAACTGGAAATTATACCATGGAAGATGTAGAGCAGTAGTATTATTAATATATGGGAGGCATACAGTGCCCTCTCAGTTGGCAAACAAAGCAAGTTGCCCTGGCAGAAGAGCATCATATAGCAGAGGACACAGGTGCCATGCACATGCTCAGAAAAGTAACAACACCAGATTGCAATTCATTAATCACAATTGATCTGAGCCAATCTGTGCTGCTTAGGTGGGTAGACAAAAGATTTGCTTAGACTGGCTATGAATACATTTCATTAATTAACAAGATTTTTACTTTTAAGTTTTCTTTTGTAAAATTGAAATTTCATATCTTAAGATTTAGCAAAGAGATACTCTAAGAAACTGAGATCCTTTTAATGGTATGCTGTCCCCTTGACATACTCAATTCGTGAATAATTTATGCACACAAAAGCAACAATTAATGTTTGCTTGGACTGGCTGTGATTTTAGCAGAAGCTCCACAAAGTAGGAAATGCACTTAGATTCCTTTTTCAGAACACACCAAAAACTGGTAGTCATTGGAACATTGCCCCCTTGATCTGGCAGTCAGAAATTCAAGAGGAACCTTAGCTGAGAATTGTTGATGCAAATTGTTGATTCAGGGAACGTAAAATTCTTTAGTGTTAACTGTTAGTGTTAGCTGTTTTTGGTATAGGGATAGGTTTGTGTGGGGTAATTAGTTTTTTTAATGTTTGTGTTTTTGTAGGCTCCCAATTCTTGAATACCAGAAAATGACTACAGCAAAACTGAAAAGAAATTGGAACATTATTCCAAAAGGTCTGGACCAAGTCATTTGGAGTTGAACACAGTGGAAAAGCATTTTGTATTCCATGTAATAAAAGAACTTGTGTTGCACACCACGTGTCAGATGGCACCTTGACACCAACCACAAAAGTATTGCCAAACTTGATGAAACTGAAGAAAAGTATTTCTTTAATGGAAATTGAGGAAATATTCCCAGCGGCTTAGTTTTTGCAACTATCTCAAATACATCGCCTAGCAGTTTTCAAATTTCACTGTATGTAACAAAACATGTACTGTCTGATAGAGGTCTTTATCAAAATGGCCATGCTGTGTGAGAGAAATTCCCTTTGTCATGATTCCCCAAACAAGTTTAAAATTATGCAATGCAACTGTGAGGTGCCACTTAGAAATACTATAAGCTAGGTGTGGTGGTCCATACATGTAGTCCTCAAGAGGCTGAGGCAAGAGGATGGTTGCCAGTTAGAGAGCAGCCTGGGGTACAGAGTGAGCTAAAGGTCAGCCTGAACTGCATAGTGAGACACTGTCTCAAAAAGACCAAAAGAGAAATACTATAAGAATAAGTTTTGTGCATCACAAGAGATGTTAGCAACACAACACTGAATTACAAAAGGCAGCTGTTGACTCCGTGTGATTTGGATAAAAGCACAGATATGAATAATGCAAATGTAGCAGTAATTTTGTATTGTGCTATTGGTGACATCATGAGAGAGCTCTTGAAACTTGTCTGCCTTGAAGAACACAGGGATAGATACCAGCAGTGCTTTATGGAGGATTTTTTTGTCACAAGAGATAAGTCCAAAAAATGTGGTTTCAGTTATTCATGATGGGGGAACTTTGCGTGGGGAGGAGCAACATCTGGTTTCTTATAGTTCTTTGTCAAATGAACAAAACATACATTCAGTTTCATTGTATTACATACCAAGAAGCTCTTTGTTACAGAGAAAACAACAAAAATTAGACAATATCCTTAAAGATGTGCCAGAAATGGTGAATTACGTTATGATTTATGTTTGTAATTTTTGACAGTTCAGCACTTGGTTGATGAGGTTCAGGCACACTAGTCCTTTATTTAGGTACAGTGACATCATCCAGTGACTGAGTACAGGACAAGTCATAGACTGGATGAAATTAGAGTGCTTATGAATGAAAATGGGTAGGAATATCTAGAGCTCACTGCTTGCTTTAACAATCTTTTTTTTTCTTTTTGCAGATTTTACACCTCAGTGAATAAAAAACTGCCAAAGTACAGGGAAAATAGAGTGATTTATAGTATTGAAACATTTTTAAAAAACCTTAAAGTTGGGCAACTGAAATATTTTCTGAATAAAGATGCATTTAGGTAAGACATGCAAACATTGTCAGTGTGAGAAGCTAAAAGAAACCACATATGTATGTGTATATGTATAAAATAGTTAAGATAGTTATACTTCTGAGTTCACTGAAGAGAAAGATATGTGCTGGTATTGATCAGACAATTGAATGCATATGTCTGGTGCTATGGGAATGTCGGCATGCAACATATGTATGATTGTTGCCCCCTGATATGTTTTGAAATTTTGTTTTAGGTTTTTTTTTTTTTTTTCTTTTTTCTCCTTGAAATAAAATAGACTTGGAAATAAATAAATAAAATTGCATTTAGAAAAATCACGATTTGCAGACAGTTTTACAAACTACTAGGAAATCCTGAAGGAATTTTCTAGTATTGTTTTTATACTTTCATATGATGGAGACAAGCCTGTGTTTTCTTACTGCTCCAGATAAAGCCAGTTTTGAAGAACTTGATTTTTTTAGCTTTACACTGGTTACATTTTGGAAATGTGGAAATGGAGCTATTGGAATTTCAAGAAAGCTCTATCTGGAAAAAAAAAATAATGAACTGTGCAACGCTTATGAAGGTAGAGGGTGAAAGAATGACAAAGGACAGTGTAGTTGGTGCTGAAAATGGAATCCCTGAAGTGTGAGCTGCTCTGCCAAATAATTTTAAGTCAATGAAAGCATTTGGGATTGTTTTTCATTTTGTTTGGGTCATCCTATGCTGGTGAGCAGCTGTTTTCAGCTTTCAGTTGTATCAAATCTGATAGGAGAAACAAACTTAACAGATGAGCTGAGAGCTGTACTTGTTGCTATCAAACTACAAGATTGAGCCATGGTTTGACAGAATATCACTATAAATGTAATAGCAAAGAACACACCAAATGCAAACCTCAATTTCAATAAACTATCATTGAAGCTCTGTTACTGTGTTCTTTTTTTAAGAAAAAAAGATACTAATAGGTTTTCTAGTAAATGAAAACCTCAATATTTAAGTTTATGCAATAAACAGCAGTTTGAGGTTGTAGGTTGTGCATGTTGCCATTAAAGGGTTCTCCATCACTGGCCTGTGGGAAGAAACATAGTATGAATATATTGGTTTCAGTACTGTTTCGATCTTAGGGTCTCAAGCAAACACTGGGAGTCTTGGAGATTGTAATCCTAGTGCATAAGGGTCTCATTTTGGTTATTTCCATTTTCTTCACTGTTTTTTTCCTTAAGAGCATTTTAAATCCCACACATGTACTACAGTACCTTAAAGTACAAAAGAACAAGCTGTCAGGCTAATTAGTACAAGGCCAAGCTACCCAAATGATCTCTCAGCTTTGACTTCAAACTTGTGGCCTTCAAACTTGAGTCATTTGAGTTCCTCTAAGGAGCCATGCTGTCATATTCATGCCACCCCACCATGGCTGTGATTGTGAAGTCCCAGGTGACAATTATTTTGAATTCAGAGCAGACCACCTTTATTTGTTTTGAATTTGTGTACTTGTATCATCATACCTTTTCCCTATTCCTTTTTGGTTACCAGAAAGCCCAAAGGTAAATGTTGCACTAAATGCTTTTCTGTCCTCCAAATTTGGTTTATTATTTCCATTATATTCTTCGTTCTTGCAGTTAGATTGATTTTATTCTGTAAAGACTAAAGTAGTTAGAATTTTCAGGGTTTTTTTTTTTTTTCTTCTGTTTCCTTGTCCCCTTATGTTCTCCTTACAGCCTCCCTCCTTCAGTCAATAGGACCAGGTGGCACTTGCCTTGAGGAAGGAATGTTACAGTGAAAATAGGAAAATTTTGTGTCTCACTACCCAAGCCCTTGGAGACTACTGGTCTATAGATTTAGAGTGGAGAAACAATGACACAGTAAAGCTGGCTGTTAGTTTCAAGCTGGAAAAGGGCAAGTATAGTAAAAGCAAGTTGGGAGTGACAACAGTGCAAAACACAGACTGATAGAAATCTGACCCAGAGAGGCCTCTACCCTGCTTAAGGACAGCAGACCCAGGGCAAAAGTGGCTGTGAGATCAGACAAATGAACCCATTGCCTGTCTCCCAGACTGCGCTCAAGGGAAGCAAGGACCCAGCAAATACCCAGGTGCACTTGCTCAGAGTATGCGAGGGCCTTTAAGTTGAGAATGTGGAACATTGGCTAGCATCCTTTATGGATACAAGACCACAGTAAGGTGGTGCCCACCATCTCAGATGCCAGCAGTATGGGCAGTCCTGAGGACAAGTGTCTGCCATCTGTTGACATCTTGTAACCCCGGCAGTGAGATCAAGCCAGGGAAATGGTAACTTGACTGACATGGAATATTCTGCCAGATGTCATAAAAGACACTTTAAGTTGCCTTGTAGAGAAAGTTACATGTCTTCTAAACCTGAGTTTGCCTCGCAAGTTACTCTAAGCCCCTCAATGTAATGGAATGAGTCAACGGATCCAACAAAGCATCAAAGAACCTTGTTCTAAAAATGCTTTCTTGGAGCCTTCCCAGGACAGACTTCCTCCTTGGGAGTTCTGGGGTCATTCCTCTTAAGCCTTGACTCTAGCATCAAGATACAGCTAGATCTGTCTTCCACATTCCAAAGGATCAGGCCCTCAGACTCACTTTTTCCTTTTTCCTTGATAGCTAATGCTTTTTGAATCACCTTGAGCCATCACCTAGCACAAATGGCCAGGAAGCTTCCCAGGAGCTTCAGGAAAACAACACACAGTAATTCAGATTTTTGGCCTTTGTAGCTAATGTCATCATTAAATGCTATTTGAAATAACAAACTGTCTCATAAGAAATAAACTCACCTGTATAAATACCGTATAGTCTCCCTAGTATAAGAAATGGTAAGAGTACATAAGATTTTTTGGTAATCATGGTTCCCCATTATATTGCTTTGAAGTGTTACACTATTTTCATTGGTTGGAATGGTTTTCTTTTGTTTGGTTTTATGTGTGATGCTATAAACAGCTACTTTGAAGAAAAGACATTATGGCAGCCCTTGCTGATTTAATATCTTGCTTTGAAGTTCTACCATGCTTTTGTTCTGTTTCTATTGGTTCTATCCTTTTGTGTCTTATTGAATTCTAGTATAAAAGTGTTTAAGGGAAATGAGATACCTTAGTAGCCAGTGTTCATTATCAGTTATTTGGTTTGAATGTCCTGTAATACTTTCATTCTCTTGAATGGTTTTATACTATTTCGTTATGTTTGATACTATTGTATGTGAAGGTAGCTCATCAAAGAAAAGACATTACGGTAGCTACTGTTGATATCTGGCTGTCTTGTCGGGAACTGCTGTGTTGCTTGCATTGTTTTGTTCTAATTTGCACTGTTCTCTTTTGCTTTATTCTCTTTAAAAATTCTTCAAAATCTTAAAAAAATAAAAATAACAAATGGCCAGTGCATGGATGCATGTGTGACTCTGAAAGCTTTCGCTAGTTCCAAATCCAAGCTTTCGTATCTCACTAACAGACTGGTTTTGTCATCTGTCATGAGTTGTCTTGCCAGTCTGACCATTATGTTTCCTGTCTTTCAAATGAGCATAAGAATAATTTCTTGGGGGACTGATGCTGAACAGATGTTCACAAAGCCCCATAGGATCACCGTGACAGGTCTCCATAGGACCGAGATTGCTGTTATGTAATAATTTTTCCTTCTAGTTTCGATTAGGAAATGGTACACGCACATCTATGTGCATAAATGTGTCAGTGCTGATGGGTCGTGCACACTTGAAACAGCCCTATACATATACGGAGTGGGGGGATGGGTCCCCAAGCAATCCGCCTTCCCAGTAGTACCCTGTTAAACAGGATGATCAGGGAAGAGGGGCTTTACCTTAAAAATTGTGATGTCCAGGTCCTTTGGTACCAACATTCATCCTGAAGGACACTGGCCAGTCCAGCAAGATACAGCTGAAGCTCACAGTGCCTGCAAACTTGGCTGCGCTGTGGTCTCTAGTGCTCACTGCTGTAATTTCGGGAAAGAAACGCTGCTTTAGGGAGCCATAAATGTCTGTGCAAGGAAGGAAAACAAACTGCTCTCTACTCCTCAAAAGTTTCCACCTGAATGACTTCCCTTAACACAGTGTCCCCCACCACAGCACAGCACAGCACAGCACAGCACAGCACAGCAGGGTTACTGTAGTTTATAGGAATTGGTGGTGTATTGCATTGGGAACTAGGAGGAATGACATCAAAGGTTCCCAGCACAAGTGACACTCAGATTCAAGGGGATGGAAATGTTGACCAGGTTCTAGTAACAATTTCAATGTATGAAATTGTCGGACTGTACTGCACACATACGTGGAATGATTATGTGTCAATAAAGGTTTTCACCTAGGCCTGGTGGAACACACCTGTAATCCTAACCCTCAGAGGTGAGGCAGAGAGATTGCAAGTTTGACCCCAGCCTGAGCAATTTAGAGGAATCTCAGTAAGCAAATACAAAACTTTAATTTGGCCATAGTACTGTCCTGAGGTCTGTGTTGTGGGGCTCTATTTGTCTTTCAGTCTGGGGTTCCCTGTTATATTGGTTCCAAAGTTAGAACTGGATGTCTGGGAGCAAAACAGGAAACAGCCAAAATGTTTGCGAGACATCTGAGACCAACTTTTGAGTCTTACATCGTTGTTTTCTGAGGGTTATCTTTTTATTCTAAAACTTCCTTACGTCTTGTCCATCCAGGAAAAAAAAGCTGGGATTTGGGCTCAACTGTGGAGCTCTTGATTGCATTTCTCCTCTGCCTGTGACTTCCTGTCACACCTGTGAATGGCTGAGAATCCAGTGTTCATATACTTTGTAAATGAGAAACACTGTTGGCCATAATTTCAACTCAGTGCTCCAAGCCCCATATAAGGCACAGTTAATATAATCTCACTTCAGATGACACTCGGAGGAGCAGAAAGACAATTTGTGGGGGGAAAGGAATAAGAGGCAGCACACATTTAACAGGAATGTTAATATTTACTCGTTACCATACTCGGTATCTGGGAGGCTGCATAGTCACTAGGTGGGGATTGCATCTTCAATTAAGTAGTGGTGGCAGGGGACTTAGTGGTGTTTCACAGAGGGAAACTGCCGAAATCTTACTTTAAGGAGAATAATCTTTTAAAAGCTGAAAAAAAATGGAAAGCAAAGCCCTAGGGAAAAAATAGAGGGAACATTTCTGTTTAGGGAATGCCAGTATTTTGGCTGAACACATTATGTAAAATTAAATACTATTTTAAACCAAGGAGATATAATATCTAATTAAGTTTTTGTGGTTGATGGGCTTAGAGAGGATTGTGAATGTTACATCCAATGAACTCAAAGAAATAGAAAAATTAAATAGCATTGTACGATAGTGACTTTCAGCCAGACACAGGCCGACTTCCATGTGCCACTTTTACTCTGCCTTAACCTGCAGCTCACTGAAGACAGGAAAGAGAAAATGAGAACTTGCACTGTGAACTCATTAAACCCTAGAATGGCCTCAGGGAGTAGGTGTCAAGAGTCATCAGCCTCATTTGTTAGCTGGGACCTGAGCTCCAAGAGGCCAAAGGACATACACCCAGGGCCACTGAGATGTATGAGAGTCAAGTGGAGAAAGAACAGAGCCATGATCTCCCAGGTGCCTCTGGAATCTCTTCTGCCAGGAATGCTCTCTGTTCTCCAGCAGGAGGCTGCACTTTGGAAAGCAGAGGCTTCTCTCCCTGACCACTTCCCAGGGGCCTCTTAAGACTTTGGAGTTACAGGAGAATTGCAGTGCAAAGTGTGTGGTTACCAGACATACAAGATTAGCCTTTAAAGGCTTTTAATGATCAGTTATCACATGAAGGCCTTTTGACACTGAATGAAATAATTTTTGAAGAGAAGAAATTAGCAAATCACTATGTGCCAGAATAGTGGTGATGCAGGAGTCCCAGACAGTTCTGGAGGCTAAGGCAGAAGCTCACATGAG